ATCGTTAAACGTCGGTTGCATAAATGTTTGAAAACGAGAGACAGAGAGGGAACGAGAGAACGGTGGAATTCCGAGTGTTCCAATTATGAGAAGCAACGAATCGAACGCTTTAATAAATACACCTCGAAAATCGCGAGGGGGAGAGAGATTAACAGGGGCATGATAATGATTTATTATTCGAAACACGTTCGGGAAAGCTGTCAGCTGACGTGAGAAGAGTTATCATCAACGTTACACGCTGGATCTTTGACCGCTGACCTACATTATAAACTAAGGATTAACAACGTGGCAGCGATTCAGAATCCTATTACACGGTAATTTATGTCTCGTTCAGGAGCACACCGGGAGAAGGGAGAAGAAAGGGGGAAAAAAAGTTTTACGCCGCGTGGCATGGTGGCCATTTGACTTCGTAATTTCTGCGGCCGGAAGCTACAGCCCCGGCGGATGGTACATTTCGGTAATAAGTCGACGAGGGGGAGGTTTTATCCTTTTTGCAATAGCCCGGCGTGCGTTGAATCTCCCCCGTGAAACGGAGAACTGAAATTTTACAGTGGCGCTTGCCCGTCATGCTGAAGTAATTAAATTACACGTCCTTTCTATATCCATTATGGCGGCATAATGAGAGTAACAGAATTATACTACATTACGAGCTTTAATGTAATATATCGCACCGGGCATTTACGTGCATTAACCTATTGATACGTTGCGTTTCATCGAATTACCAGCGGTTATCGTTCCCTAATATATTCAAGAACGCAGATGGTTGCCAATCTGGCAGAAGATTCGCGAGCCACCAAAGTCGTACGTTCTTTGGTTTTATCCTTTCCTCTGCCTTCCCCCTCCCCCCTTTTCCTCGTATATACCTCTTGACCGATATATTACGCGAACGTTGAGCTACTTTAAAAAACTTCCCTCGCCGGGCGACTCGAATGAATCATGGTGTCGTAACTCGTATGGGTAACAGTGCGTGATGTACGGCTAGAAGATCCGTCCGAGACATCTTTGAGGTTGCAAATGGCGTTATTTTTCACGGGAGCTTCTTCCCCTAGCCGACGTTGTAGCTAAATCTAACCATACATATTCTAGTTGGCGGCTATTTTTCTGAAAATACACCAGCCCGACAGTGTGCTCAAGTTCAACAAACGGGATCGTTTATCGTTTTTGCTTCCCGATAAATTGTGACATCGTCGTCGTTCTCAAGCAACGGCGGCGCACGCGCGGTTAATTTCACAAGCGGTTGAAAAGAAAGAAAAAAATCGTTCCCTCCGCGGTGTTTCGTTTACATATTTCACGCCGCGGTGTTCTCCGCTGAAATCGTGAATACGGAGACGAACTTGTGTCTGGAACCGGGGGAGTATAACGCACAGGTGTCTGTGCAGATGTGGCATGTGCAACTGCGTGAGTTTCGTAGTCGAAGCTCATTCGCAGAACGACAAATTACCAGTTGGATTAATCCGCCGGTTGCCGTAGTCGCACATACTTAAGATGCATACTGCCGGTGCAGTATGTATGGATATCTGCATACGCAGGAGAGGACAGATTGTCTCGCACGATGAATCTGATGAAATCCTTATCAGCTTTCCTTGAGCGCATTCCGTTTCCTTGCAATTAGAAAGATAGCCGTATTTGCTGGTTATTTACAGTGAAAAATAATTTCGTATTTTTAAGTCAAATTAAAAGGCGGGATATTCGTGTTAGAAAAGAATTTTATTAAACAACGTACGCACCGTTTTGTTCGACGATTTGTCGCCATCTTTCAGGCAATTTCGAAATTCCAGAATATACTTTCAGAACTGTCCCAGTTTTCTGAGCAAAGAAACTATTTGTTCCGTATCCAAATAAATATTATCGAATGTAACGTAACAAACTCTAACAAAGTTTAAAACATGTAGGAAAAACATGATCTCTTAGAAAAACACATGTAATGAAATATTGAGTGAAGATTGTTTCAAATATTTTCTGTTAACGACATTTACCCGCGAAATATGAAATTATTTTTAACACAATATTTGTCTAATACCATTTCCTTGCGTGTGTTAAATTTTCGTGGCACTGTAATATATAATATTTCGATGTTAATCCTCGTTAGACGGATATACTCGTGAATTATTGTTATTGCAAATCATTATTAATTAATTTTATTTTTCGCGAAAATCCGGCTTTTCACCTCGACAAGTAAATTCATATGAGAAATTGAAATTCTTACATCGTTGAATTACTGAATTCGATTGTTGAACGCCGAAATGGAAAACGTGTAAAACCATACGGAATTTAGCAATTAAAAATGTTGCCGAGCTAACTGAATAGAATAGGATCGGTGTTTTGTTATTCGATTCGTTGGAAAAAAGGGAGATCCTCTATCAAAGTGAACCAATCAATATCGTGGTACGTTTTATTTACGACCTAACGCGGCGGAAGGTTGTTACGGAGAGCTTGCAATTAAATATTTTTTAAATTACGAAGTGTGTGTATGTGTGTGTGTATGTGTGAAAAAAACACGTGCTTTTTTTCTCGAAACCTAATGAAAGATCAGTTTTATTAAATTTTAATTTTACAGAGAAAGAAAGAACTTGCGCGTTGTGCACGATTTTTATTCTCTGCATTAACGTAACATATTCTCAGAAAGTAACAAGCATCCAGCATTTCCCGGAAATTAAAATTAACAAGCTCAAATCGGAGTAATAAATTTTCTCGCTTGAACAGGTGTTTCTAGAATGGACAGAAGAGTACAGGTCAAAATGATAAGAATCATCGTTAAAAGAAGAAGATGATATATATTTTGAAGTACAATGGAACGAGACACGCGTCAACTTTCATGATTCAAAATCTAACTTAAATATTATAACTGTCGTCTTAAAAAAAAAAAAAAAAAAAAAAATGGTACATATTTTGAAATGAGACGAGACTGAAACGTTCCATCGTAATAGCAAATCTTACAAATTAAAAATTATAACTGTCGTTTTTCCGCGACTGTTTCAACTTGTACTTCTTCATTCGTTCACCAAAGATATACAGAAAAACCACGTACGCGAAGGTGAAGTCACGAGAGGGTGGCCGCAAGAAATATGGCCACGTAGTCGTCCGCGCAAGGATTAAATCGTATCGTTGACAGGACTTTACAGTATCTCACGATGGTACAGAAGCAAATCTGGACGTTAGAATTCGTCGGTGGTGAGGCAACTGACTATGTTACACTTTATCCCGTTGCGCCTGGCGCAAAATGCATCTATCTTATCTTGGCGTGAACTCGAACCACGTTGTTGTTGCATAATGTACTCGAACCTGTGGTCATCCTTTGCGAATCCTTCGGGCGTGAAGCTGGCTGCTTCTGAGAAACATTCATTCTCTCACTTCTTTCTTCGCTTTTCCACACTTTTCTCTCCCCCTCCCGCTCTCCCTTTTGAATCTTGCCTATCTTCTCTTCTAGTCTACTTTTCTCAATACTTTTGTGCCTTGGTGCTCTGTATTCAACTGTTCGAAATGTTCCTCTCTGTTTCACGCGCGCGCGCGCGCGCGTTTTCTGATTGCCTGTGTGTTCGTCTCGATGGGTTGGATGGCCGCCTTCTCGTATCGAAATATGGCATCGAACGATGCGACATTTTCCTCGATGGTTCGCGACGATGTACTGCGGTCCTTGGAACGATCGTGTTGCATTTTATAGTCGATCATGGAAGTATTCGAACGCTTGTAAAAAGCTTTTCTGAATGCATAATGTTTAGCTTGAACTAGCTTGGACATTGAGCATGAACATATTTATCCTACGCAGAGATCATTAATGTCAGTCATTCGTATTTTTAGAAAACGTATAAAAAAGAAAAAAAAATAGACTCTCGATGGAAAATCGTTTTGTGTGTATCAAATTTTATATAGGGACGTTGAACCTTGGATATTTTCCCTGTATTCTCTGCAAATTTGCATGAAGATTCGCGGTTTATCAATTTATTTAAGATATATCTTTTACTTGTAAATGTATATTTAGAGAAACTATATAACAGCTTGTGCTAGTATATCTCCGCCTTGTCCGATTGATTTTAATTTTTATCACGACAGCAGTATTTCATTTCACGATGAAACCGTGTTAAAATATTTCGCATGGAGTGTACAGCGACGAATGTCCAAATATTTTCGCGAGGTAATGCATGTGAAATGAAAAGATGCGAAAATACGTACGTACGTACAGTTTAGAAAGTAAGAGATTGAATTTTATGGCCTGGTAACACGCTGGTGGCTTCCCCTGGCTGGCGAAGCACCAGTATTTACCACTGTGTCCAACATTTGTGTCGTTTCGCTCGTATTCGTCGCCAGCGCCATATTTTCCTTTCAGCTTGATTTGATATATTATATTACGCGGAGCAGTTTTGGAATTGCCGGCCGCACTTTGTCCCGGGCTATTTCGAAAAAAAAAAAAAAAAAAAAAAAAAAAAATGGTGCCAGGCCGTATTATTCGTTTTTCGTCTTTCTTTCTATCTTTTTCTTTTCGGTTCACGTTTAGAAATCTGGTTAATTAAATTTCTGATATAAATCAGGATCGTTTCAAAACGGAGCAATGCTTCGATTCTTTGACCAGGGTGAGACACTTTTAATTACACGAGAATTGCCGATCTTCTGTCTTAAAAGGGAAATTATTCTCGATAAAAATATCGTTATCGTTCGCCTTTCCCATTCGTGGTTTTTCTCACATTTTCGAATGTTCGCTGTTATTACAGAAATAAGTAAAGTTTGAGAAAGTGGGCCAATTATTTCGCGTCAAGTAGCCGATTTCTTTCTCTCAGCCTTTCGATTAAGGACCTTCCTTGGGGAGTTTGAACGAAAGCGGCCGAGGGGGGAGGGGTTCTATATTGTTCTTATTGCCAACTAATAAACTTCGCTTCTGATGAGCTCATCAACCATCGAATATTGTTACTACACGGAGCCTATTTTTTGCCAATAACTTGCGCGAGATTCGCTCCCCTCCCCTCACCGATCGTTGTAGATTGCCGCGGGATTGCTCTTCCTGTATTAAAGGCTTTATCGATCGTATCATCCACTGGAGAATTTTCGTTTCCCCTTCCGGATCTCTCCCCCGTGACAGAAGCTCAAAGAAACGATTTCACTCGCCACTTTTGCCTTTCATTGTTATTAAATGGCAGACTTTTATGCGTTTGTTAAGTTCGAAGTAAATTCGAAGAGATCAACGTGCGGAGAATATACATGCAATGTATAAACTAGCGAAAATGGAATATTTGTTATAGCGTTTAGAGGCAGAAAGAATTTCTTCAGCCAGACTCGTAAAGAATAAAAAATTCATAAAATCTCGTCACTTAATCGTAATTTCTTCAACAACAAGATCAGTCAATCTCGCGGTTGAAATTTTAGATATCTATCCTTTGTTTTATTTAACTTAAATCACTTGTAGCTTGAAAAATTTTTCCAAATTATAGACAACTATGAAATGAAAGTTCATTCTTGTTCAGATGACTTGTCGATTTTTATGAAGGAGAGTATTCGAAAATACAGTAACTATTCGCTATATCGAAAATTTCTTTCATTAAAATAAATATGTAGATTCTCGTTTCAATTGTCACGTTTGAAATAGAAAATTTTTTTTTGATGCATAAGATTTTTGAAAAATTTTAATGAGTCAGAGGAGAAGATTTTTTAAAGATAAGTCAACTTTTTAAAAAAAAGTGGAGTAAATGAGAAAATTCTTGTAGAATCTATATCTACTTCGCTTCATTATAGAAATATTCTCTCGAAAATTGAAGAAAATTTAACGTGTAGTTGTGGTCAAAAAACGCGGAAGAAGCTAAGACACAGGTTCCGTATTTTTTACTCGAATTAACTTTTTTACAAGTCATATTCATCTTTTTGCACTTTCTTTTTGTAAATCAAACTTTGCTACAAGTTTGTTTCCTTAAGCCACTGTAATAAAAATAAAATCCGATGTAAAGTTATTGTTCTTAAATGAAAATTTTATCGCATGTGTGTAATACTTGAAGGAAAAATAGAATTAACATGAAATGCTTATTTAACTGAAAGCATTTATATACACGTATATAGAGTCATCTATAATATAATGGTTGCCGCTGTGAGAAGTAATTTTACATTCATACAATTAGTGACAGTTGCAACAGAATGATTAATAACATTCTGCATGTTCAATGGCTCAATAATCAATCCTAAATGTTCATAATTTGAGGTACCGCACGAGTAATTAACGAAAATTACAAAAAAAAAAAAACAATTAAACGACATTGTATTACTTCACGTTTGAGTTACCCACAGAGGAAATTTGATTTTCAACAAGATGAAATCGCGATCCAAGGATCAATTTGAAATGCAAGATTCTCTCCGATGGATTTCTCGTGTGTTCATCTTCCGAACTTCGTTTGGAAATTTGAATTTGAATCAGCCACGTTAACACGGTATTGAAAGGACCTTCGACTCTTCGAGACGTGATTTTGCAATAAAAAAAAAAAAAAGAAAAACGGAACGAACGAATCACTCATCAAGAGATATTCGAAATACTCGCAATTATCCGTCGCAGCGTCGTAAAGAGAGGAAAAGTCGAAAGCGAGTCACGTGTCGCCGTGATCGATCAATTCGCAAAGTCAGAGGACAGAGGAACCAAGGATCGGAATTTCGATGTGCACGATTTATGGAACAAACTTGGGAAGCCTTCACGGCGACAGGATTGAATCAAAGAAAATGGAAATTCTTTCGATCATGCGTGTGCCGAGATTCGTTGCTCGATCTTTACCTACCAATTTTCCACCGCTTGAAACGGCACCCAATCCAACAAGGAAGACCTCGCGCGTTCGAGGTATTTCCTTCTGGCGTGTTTGTCGTATTCCTTCGAGTGTAAAGTGTCGAGCAAACGAAAAAGGGGATTCTTCTAAAAAAAAAAAGAAAAAAAAAAAAAAAAAAAAAAAAAAAAAAAAAAAAAGGAAAAGAGTGGTAGAAACGAAGAGACAACGGGGGCCAGAGAGTCACAGAGCGTTATAAGATCGATAGTTGATGTGATAGCGAGCCAAGCCAAGCCAAGCTAAGCCGAGCCAAGCCAACCGAACCCAACCCAACCCGAGTCGAGTCGAGCGTACGACGACGACGACGAGCCGACCCAACCGAACCCAGTCCTCGGTTCGTTCACCCCCGCGGCACATTCGCGCCATTATCTGTTCCAAATGTCGTCAACGGCATCGTTTCGTTTACGGTGCGGCACATCCACCTTCTCTTCTGCCGGAGCGCACCACCGACCCGACCCACCCCCGCGCATTTGCTTCACCCCCTCCTCCGCGTGAGGCGCGCGGGATATATGCCCCTTTTTACCCCCGCGGCTTCTCGCAACCCCTCGCGAACTCGTGCAAGCCAACCGAGAAACCGGGCAGAGGCTTGCCCCGTTTCCTCCTCCGCGTTCTCTGTCTCTCTCTCTCTCTCTCTCTCTCTCTC